AATGATATGAAAGTTCATATAATTTTGCAATAAATAATTAACAAAGCTGTAAACAACAAATATAACCAAAGCATTACGTTTAGTAATTATCAAAAGGTTATCAAAAGTTAGATAACCCATATGAATATTGCAAAATTAATATCAGTATTCATCGAGGGGGGCCTTTTATACATTCATATAATAATATTTACATCATTGTCTATTGAGAGAATGCAGCTTAATCTATTAAATCATTTATTTGAAAAATTTATTAATATTTCTTTTAAATCTTAATAATTGCCTACATCATAATATTTTAAAGGAATAAGCACAATAAAGGAATATTGATTTCATGAAAATTTAATTAATGTTATAAGAAATATAATAAATTGTTATTACGATTATTAAAGTTAAATTATTATTTAACTTTAAATAACATTATATATAGCATATTGTAGTGTAATAAATTTATATTATTGGTAATACAGTTCTTGTTAAAAGATTGATATTTTATTCGATAAATTAAATTCTGAATAGTTGGGTATTTTCAGGATTTTGTGCTCGACCTCTCTACAGTGAGTATAAGAACAATAAAATTGTAATGTTTGTCGAGTGTAACGTTTGTATTTATAACTCGATAAACAAAATTCAATTTTTTAATATCATTCTTAATTTCTTTTAAAATTATTTTTGTAGGACTAACAATACTTATAATTATTGCTATATAGTATAAATAAATAATTGAATGAATGGAATTATCTGTGATCAAAGCACATTGTTACTTGAATAAGAGGGCAAAATATTAATATAATAGTATTTTACATACATTTTTAATAATCTACATATATATATAATGGGATATAAATTTGTATGTTAAATGGGTACTAATTTAATTACTATTAATTTATAAAACTAATGTTGTTTAAATATACTAATCAAAAAATGCCTTATTAACGAAATAGTGCTTTTGCAAGAAAAAATTGTGATTGTTTTGTTTTGTCAATAGAATGTTACATCAAAGAATGGCTTACAAAAAAAACAATTTTTTAAAATAATTAATATTAAATTAGAGTTTTTAAAATTTATATTTATTATAAATTTATAAGATAACCTAATTATAATTATCTTTTTGACCATAATGCATTTGTTTTATTTAAAGGATATATCTATTAATGATATTTATACGATATCAAAATATACATGATTATAATTCTAAAGGTCTGAAATTTATTTTGTCATTCTTTCAAATTTATTGAATTTATTATGCAAAATCAAGAAATCAAAATGCATTGTGTGTTATGATTTAGTTTGAATTTTGCTTTACTTACATTTTCTTTCTGTTGAGTCTAACTGGGGTGCATTTGCAACATATTGTTTTTGTTTTTATATGTATATACACAAGTACAATATATTTCGATTAACGAATATTTTAATATATATATAGCCATTGTATTCATATTTTGTCCCCTTTTCTTTCTTAAAGAATTAAATTTCTGTTTTATGATATATATTTTTTATAAAAAAAATTTTACAAGTTAATATACTCCTCTATTTATTGACCTTATATAGCTTTTTAAAATGTTTTCAAAATTTTAATGGCAATTTTTTTAAATTGCAGGATATTTCCAGTTGCAAATGGACTTGAGAGACTTATATAATTTTACAAAATTGAAATTAGCAATTTCTTTTTTTCAGAGTCGTGCACCTATTTCGGCAAAATTAGTAGCAAATATGCTATCAGTAGCAGGAGCTGATCATATTATTACAATGGATTTGCATGCTAGTCAAATACAGGGATTTTTTGATATTCCAGTTGACAATTTATTTGCTGAACCAGCTGTTTTGAAATGGATTAAAGAAAATATTATAGAATGGCGAAATAGCATTATTGTTTCACCAGATGCTGGTGGTGCTAAAAGGTAATTCAAAATTAACATTAATACAAAAAAATTAACATTAATAAATATATGGAAAATAAAATATGGAGATCTTATCTTATCTTAACAGGGTAACATCAATCGCTGATCGATTAAATGTTGAATTTGCTCTTATACATAAAGAAAGAAAGAAAGCGAACGAGGTTGCTAGTATGGTATTAGTTGGAGATGTAAAAGACAGGGTAGCTATTCTAGTAGATGATATGGCCGACACTTGTGGAACTATTTGTCATGCAGCAGAAAAACTTTTAGAAGCTGGAGCAACAAAAGTATATGCAATTTTAACACATGGCATTTTCAGTGGCCCAGCAATTAGTAGAATTAATAATGCCTGTTTTGAAGCTGTGGTGGTAACAAATACCATTCCTCAAGATGGTCATATGAAGGATTGTCCAAAAATACAGGTAATAATTGTAACATATTATTTTATAATACATATAGTTACAACATATATATTTATACAACTAACCCAAGCCATAATATAAAAAAAAATTTTAAGATCATCCAAATTAAACTATATAATTTTTATATATATAATCTTTTTTTAATTTATGATTTATTTTCTATTTTTTATTAAGAAAAAGATCAAAACATATTTTATTTATTTATTTACAAAACCTACAATACGAAAGATAAGAAAATGTAAATATAAGGGAGCTATTTTGCATTTTTCCTTATCTTTTATGTGTTAAATTTTATGAAATAAATTTAAATATCTTTTAAATATGTTTTGAGATACAACTTTTTTTTTATTTATTTTAAAATTATAGTTTGGCTCGATTAATTTGAAATAATTTGTATAATATAATTTTAACAATAAAAGAAAAAATGGTATCAAATAAAGATCAAGAAAGTTGCGAATGTTTATGTATTTATAAAAAATTTTAATACAAAATCTGTAGAATATAAATATAGATGTTTTGATTAAGATTAATTACAAGAATATGCAATAAAAAACATGAAATTCTGTTTAAAAAAAATTTAAATATAAGCTTTACAAGTTTATAATAATATTATCTCTAATATTATCTTAAAAATAATTATCATCAAGATATTTCACTTTCAATATAATATATCAATATATCAATAATATTTTTGATTTTATTTATATTTTTATTTTATTTTTAATACATATGAAAAATCATATAATTATTATGTATAGATATTTAAAAGACATATATTTATGACTATAATATCATATATCTTTTTTGTTCTAGTGTATTGATGTATCAATGATGTTTGCTGAGGCTGTAAGGCGGACTCACAATGGTGAATCTGTATCGTACCTGTTTTCAAATGTACCGTATTAAATACAAATCTTCCTGATAATGTACTCGTTTAAATTATGTAAGAAGAATGTAATCTTTTTACATCCATTTACTGTTATTCTTAGTTTAGTTAAACTTATTTGTCTTAGGAGTAAATTTGGGATAAGCACTAATATCCCATTTTTAATTTGAAAACCATATGTATTTTTTTCTTTAATAGACGTGTGTAGGAGACATTAGATGCATACTATACTCTCCATTTTAAAAGAAAAGTAAATTAATAAGTAATAGATAGCAAATAAAAGCTTCGGAGTAAAATTTTTTAAAAATAATTAAATTTTCGCTAAATTGCCACTTCATGTGCAGAATATATCCATATAGAATATATGATTATTCTATTTTTTTATAATTTAATTTGATTAATTATTACGGTATGAAATAATATTATCGTGGCAATTATATGAGACTGGAGATAAAAAGTATTGTAATAAATGCAAACAGACATTCATACCATATGGCGATATAACTACGCCATAGAGGCATATTTCATTTTTTACTATTACGTATAAAAATTTCCAATATGTAAGTACAATTTTTCAATTTATAATATAATGCGTTAAAGCAAATTAAATTTTTACTTTTTATCTGATATAATGTAGTATATCATATTCTAATAAATTTACTACATTGTATACAATAGAAAAGAAGAAAAATCAAGAAGATATATTTATACTTTTTTCGATTATCTTTTACTACTACTACTACATTACAATTTTTAAAGAAGGGAAAAAAAATCATCATTTATAGAATTCTATTATTGAAAATAATTATGCTCATTTCATAGAGGAAAATGACTTTACAATTACTAAAGCTTTGGACCAATATTATATGAAAATATAAGTCAATATAAGACACAGCATTGTTTATATGCAAATTTTTCTCAATTTAATTTAAAAAAGTACTACTTGTTATAATAAATTGGATATTATAATAAATATTTTTAAAAAATGTAACTTGAATTTAAATGTTTTATTATGATAAAAATTATGTACATTTTGCTATTAATACTATTTTACTATCGTGCCATTAATTTAAACGATTAAAAGATTTTTAGAAATATTTTATTTTCTTTAAAATTTTCATTCATAAAATATAATTAAAGTCTCAAATTATTTGATTAATTAAACATAAAGTTTTTAATGTATTGAATTTTCTTTAATAAAAATTAGAACATATTGTTCTATTTTTTATATGTTAAATTTTAATACTCAAATGTTATTCTATATTGCACGTTATTATTAATGAATATTGTTTATTACATTAAAAATTACAATCAATTGATTATGAATTAATTATTCACGATGTACTTTATCACTGCAATCAAATATTGACTAAAAATAAATAACTAAAATTTTATGTACATCTTAACATGACAAAAACATATATAACTTAATTTATTATATTATGTACAATAACTTAATAAAAATGAAATTATGTAATTTTCGTATAAAAAATATACAGTATGCGGGATTCCTGTAATATTTAAATACTTCGAAATACTTTTAATTTCTTTAACATGTTTGTAAAATAGTTTCTTAAAATAATATAACTAAAATTTCATAAGTACAAAAATGTTCTATTTACATGTTATTTTATATGAATAAAACTAATGAGTAATATTTTAAAAAATGATTATAATATTTTTACATTTATAAAGATAAGTAAAGATAAAAAAGTGCTGGTAATATTAAAAATTATTTTCAGCGTTTTTTAAGTATTTTAAAAAACTAGGCAATATCAATATTAATATATGAGAATTATAATTTTTTTATATATGATCTGCAATTTTCTAGAATAGATGGATAATATTAAATATAAAAAATATGTAATATGTAACAAAATTCATAAAAATATATACATAAATAAATTAATGTTTTCTTATATATACTTGATTAATATGTTTGTATGTAATGAAATTTAATACTATATTTAATCTTTTTTATGATTTATAATGACCAGATGGTAATGTTATATCGAAGACTACTGGTGGATTACTTGGTAAATAATTTAAATCGCATGTTGATGCATTTATATATATTATTTTTCCATCGGATGAGATACCATATCCTATAATATGATACATGTATAATTAATATGAAAGAAAAATGAATTAATTTAATAATATACCTTCGTGTATATGACCAAAAACATGATACTTTGGTTTAACTCGATTTTGAACCGTAGAAAGTAACTCGACACATCCAGCTCTTACACCGCTACAACATAAATCTCCGTGTCCTACGGGTGGCGTATGTGTTACAAGAATATCTGTATCCGATGGTATCATTTCCCATTTTGAAAGACATGCTTCTCCACGAGGTACATTAAATGCCCATTTACAAAATTCTGGTTGCCTAAAATATAAAAAATTTTTAAAGAAATATGATATATAAAGTGTTTCAAAAATGCAAAATATTTACCATGGAGTGCCGTATATCTTTATTCCATGTATTACAATTTCTGAATCTTCTAAATAAATACAATTTGTCAAATAATCTTTAATATTAGTAGTCTGTATTGCTTCTGCAAGAGTATCTTTGGACATCCCTAATGTAGGTATATTATCAAGAATACTGGTCCCTGTATGTTTTTGACGATTACCACTGGTTTGTAAAGAAAAGGGATGAGTAAATGTAGGATCAAAGCTAAGTTCATGATTACCAGCTATAACAATTTTATTTCTGTGTGGTAAATTACCTATAACAAAATAACTTACGTTATTACGTGCTAAATATAAATCTATAAAAAAAACATATCAAATTACCAATCCAATCATTAAACTCTATAACTTCTTGTAAACTACCACATTTTGTAAAATCTCCAGCATGTATAAAAACATCTCCCATAGGTATATCAAATTTTATAAATGGTGTTAATGAATGAGTATCACTCATACAAACAACACGAAGCTAAAATATTTAATTATCGTTTTATAAAATATAAATTCAATAAATTAAGTATAAATTACAATAAATATCCAATATTGATTCTATATTGCCAATTTTAGGTTAGATTCAATAAATTTTTTTAATAAAAAAAAGATAACAAATAATCTAAACGTTTTACCTTATCATTTGGCGCTTTAGTTGTTGGAAGTTTAGTATTTATTTTAATAACTTTTTTGCTGTTGTGATAATTCATGCCAAGCTGCTGTAGGATTGTTTGTCAATGGATGAATCTCTATCATCATGCTAAAAAGATTGTGACACTTTCTTGTCAAATGATTTAAAAAAATAAAAAAAAGAATCTATTTTTGTATATACATCAACTTCATATTGTATCTTTCATACAACAATATTAATAACTTGATCAACAAAGAAAACTTTATGCAACGAAGACTATAGATTTACACATGTATTACATATTTTGTTCGCTCTCTCTTACAAATTAAACGTTTACATTTTGTTATAAACTTATAATGTTATAATATTTTGCATAATTTGTCACTTGTCAATTGATAGAATTAAATTTTAAACACATACAAAACAAACACAAACATAAATAATTAATTTAAATTCGATTAAATTTAAAATTTTCTTTAAGATATTTAAATGTCAATGAAATAACTAATTACATCCTTATTTACATATATATATATATTTTATTAAAATTATTAAGATTTCATTATTAATTATTATTTTTTCAATATTGATAGATAAATATACGCGATGAAAATAAAATTAAATTATAATTTTTGCATTTCCGTATAGGTAGATATCGCTTAAATGATATTGATTTTGTAGATTAAAAAGATTTTGAGGAATGGAAACAACATATAAAATAAAAAAATTAATTAAAAAGTTAAAAAAGAGCTGTTTTTAATAATCGAATCAAATTAAGAATTGTAATTATCTTATATATTACATTATACATTGTGATAGAAGAAATAAATAATTATAAATAATCATATTTATTTACAAAAATTGATATGATGAAAAATGACTGGAATTACATTTATAATTATAAAAACAATTTGTTTTAATAAAATCTTTAGTATTTCGTTATTGTTATATAAATTGAATATTGAAAAATTATAATAGTGGTATCTATAGGGAAATAAATTTTAATACAGAGGAATGGCGCCTCGTTATTTTCGTCATTCCCAGTCTAAAGTCCAAAAAAATTGATATAAAAATAGATATAATACTTAAGTTTTATCATTTTGATTATAGTTATTGGTAAATATTTCGTCTCGACAACTTTAACGAATAAAATAAACTTTAGTTTTGTTAATAATTCATAAATTTTTATTTTTAATAAATATAAATTTTATATATTTAATATAAAATTTTTATAAGAATTTTAAATAAAATTAGTGTTTCATATATATAAAGTTTATAAATTCCAATATATTTAAAATTAAAAACGAAGTTATAAAAGAACGATTTTAAAATTATATATATTGTGAAGACAAAAAAACTATCAAAATGTTTTTACGCTTCAAAATTTCAACGTTGGTAAGTACTATGTAATTATGAAATTTTATATAAAAATTAAATAATACCATATAAAAGAATATCATATAATAAAATCTATTATTTTGTCGTATTTATTTTATTTTATTTTAATAAATTTTATTTAATTAAACTATGAAATATATAAATTATATAATATATAAAATATTAATAAATATATATCATATGTTCTCTAGGTATCGAAAAGAATATCATATTCAAAGATAAGAAAATTTACATCAAAATCTGATTATGCTATAGGATATAACTTCGGTAGTATTAAATATAGTTTCAAAAAAATAAAGTCATTTATAAAAATGAAAAATACATACATTTGATATTTTTATTTTAGAATTAAATGATATGCAAAGAGAAATACAAGAATTAGCACGCAAATTTACAAAAGAAGAAATTATTCCAATTGCTGCAGAATATGATAAAAGTGGAAAATATCCATGGGATATTATTAAAAAAGCATGGAGTTTAGGCTTATTGCATAAGCATATTCCTAAATATTGTGGTATAATCATAGATTTATATGTTAAAAAAAAAAAGAAAAAATTTTTAAAATTTAAAGAAAAAATTATAAATATGTAAATTATTATTATTATAGGAGGTATGGGATTTAATAGTTTTGACGGTTGTTTAGTCGTAGAGGAATTAGCTTATGGTTGTACAGGAATATTGACTGCATTAGATGCAACAGAATTAGCTGTAAGTTTATTTTTATAATATAATTTTTATATTCGTATGAAATAATATTACTTAAATATTTCTAAATATTTTTTTAAAGGAAACTCCCATAATTGCATTTGGAAATAAAGAACAGCATAAAAAGTATCTTGGTAGACTTCTTGAAGAGCCACTTGTTGCTGTAATATAATGAAATTCATATATATATTTTTAATAATATAATTTTTTTACAATTATTATTTTAATATAATATTTTTAGGCATATTGTGTTACTGAACCTGGAGCTGGATCAGATGTAGCAAATATTAAAACAAAAGCTGAAAAAAAAGGAATGAATGGATCATTAATGGAACAAAAATGTGGATAACAAATGGAGGTGTTGCCAATTGGTATATTGGATTTATTATTTATTTAGTTATCATTAATTAATTTAATATATACAATATAAAAAATTATTAATGTATTGCATAGGTATTTTTTATTAGCAAGAACAAATCCTGATCCAAAAGCTCCTGTTAATAAAGCTTTCACAGCTTTTATTGTTGAACGCGAAAGTGAAGGTTTAACACCTGGTCGAAAAGTAAATTTTCCTATTACAAAATTATTATCGAATTTTATATTAAATTATTTTATCTTTTTAAATATTATAAATTTTTTTTATGTTAAAATAGGAGATAAATATGGGTCAAAGAGCTTCCGATACTCGAATGATAACGTTCGAAGACGTTCGTGTCCCAGAAGAAAATGTTTTGGGCAAAGAAGGAGAAGGATTTAAGATTGCTATGAAAACTTTTGATAGCACCAGGCCATCGGTGAAAACACTTTTAAAAAGAGATTGAATTGAAATTGAAAAATAAGATTATTTTTCATTTTTTTTTATAGGTAGCAGCTGGATCAGTCGGTTTAGCTCAAAGAGCTTTAGATGAAGCTCTGAAATATGCAACCGAACGTAAAGCGTTTAATACGATAATAGCAGGACATCAAGCCATAGCATTTATGCTTGCAGATATGTCGATTGGTATCGAAACTGCTAGACTTGCATGGATGAAAGCAGCTTGGGCTTCTGACCATCAACTTCCAACAACTACATATCTTGCCAGTATTGCAAAATGTTATGGTGGTGATATAGCTAATAAATGTGCAACAGATGCTGTCCAAGTACATAATTGTTATTTAATATATTTATTTTTTTAATATATATATTATATCTGAAATTTTTTACAGATTTTTGGTGGTGCTGGATTTAATACCGAATATCCTGTAGAAAAATTAATGCGAGATGCAAAGATTTATCAAATATATGAAGGTACTGCGCAAATTCAAAGACTTATAATCTCACGTTATTTAATTAATCAAAAGAGAATATAATTTTTTCAATAAGGTTTTAATTTTATTTTTAAATTTCTATAAAAATATTTGAATATTATTTTTATATATATATATACACATAATATATATATATACACACATTTTATATATACATAATGATAGAAAGAAATTTTTTACTTTTATAAGAAAAAATTGTAAATTTCCTTGTTGAAATAATTTTTTTGTATAAAATATATATATTTTATAAGATATTATAGTGTTTAATGTTTATTATAATATATTTTGTATATTATTAAAAACTATGAAAAAAATTATTAAGCTTGGTAATTTTGTATTATTACTTTTGAATATATTTATTATATATATTTCATCGTAGAAAAACAAAGAACAAAGAAAGAATAATTTTATGCTTCGTATTTCGCGCTAGTCAATTTTAGATAGCGCTGCAAACGCTACTCGAAAGCGTTAGTCAAGTGTATTGTACAATGAAAAGGGATTACATTGCATTATGTCCGTCAGGTCATAGTTTTTACACGGTTATATTTGGTGAAGTCGTGCGTGGCGAGTTATGCAACATTTGGTGTAAAAACGCCCCATAATAAGACGTTCAGATATTGTGACATCTGACCTACTTAGACGGTATGATTGTATTTATAAGACAGTGGTAAATTGAGAACATTTATAACACGAAAAACGCATTTGACAGCTTTTCAATTTGCAGATTTTAACTGCTTGCAAACATCAAAGAACTAGGAAATCTTTCGGAAATTGCGTCTTTCCGTGATACATTATTGGAACACAGTGCCGTGGCTAGTAATTTCTGGTACCCATATAAAACTTGGTTCAATACGTTTCTTCTTTCAAATTACTTTCCCTTTTATTATTATTCAATATGGTACAATTAAAAGTAAACGATCACAAAATTATTTTATTATTATTTAAGATTTGATATTTAACTTTATCCAAAAAATTTGGCCAAACTTTTCTTATATTATACAGTATTTACGAAATCGGAATAGATATTTTCCCTTTCGTTATCCACTGCCGTGCCTATATATCATAAAATTGGGTACAATGATTAATTGATTCTTATGAAACTATGATATATCATAATATCATAATACGAACGAAATATTTTTTAATATAATTTTAAAATAATAATTTTTTTTTCATTTCTAGAATATAATAAATTTACAAAGTTATAAAGTATTAAGAGCATTTTGAATTTTGTTAAAAATTATAGTTATAAATTTTTTAAATATTTAATCGTTAATAATTCGATAAAATATTATATAAAGATAAAATAAAATTAGAAAAAGATCAAAAATATAATATTTTCGTTATAAATATATAAGGATATATAATTTATGCCATCCAAGATTAATCAAGATAGTTTAATACTAATTAATATATAGATCGTGCACAGAACAAAAAAAAATATACAAAAAATTTATATTTCATAAGTTTTAATTTTATGTGTATATATGTATATATTTTATGTGTGTGTGTATATATGTATATACATATATACATATATATACATATATATATATATATATATAAATAAAATTTTATATCGATAATTTGAGAATTTATTATTTATTTTGATTCAAATATTTAGAATTCATTTATGTTATATTAAAATTCAATAAAAAAATTGTAAAAAACGTAACATTGATAAATGTCGTATAGCAATGGCAAAAATTGCAAGGTGGATAGCGAAAAACATAATTTCAATGAACGATAATGCGGATAACGCGAACCGGCAACGGGTACCGGCATTGAATACACGGCCCTGGAACTCGTGCTGTCAGAGCGCAACGGTGCGCCGGACGCTCGCTTGACTAAGGGAGTGCCCGTCCCGATGCAAAGTGTAAGTGAAGTGGCCTACAGACCTACATTTGTCTAACGTTCGATTTTTTTCGAGTCGGCAGACAGGAGGTTAATAATCCGCGCGGGGCTTATTTTTCCGCGGGCGTGTGTGATGTCGCTGTTGTGTGATATACTGATGTTTGGTTGAAAGAGACGGTGTAGTTTCGGTACGCTCAGACGGCGCTGGCCGGCGCGGGGAGCGTAGTAGTAAAAAGAGAGGAGGATAGTAAGAGTGTGCGCACACAAAGAGGAAGAGAGAAGGACAGAGAGAGAAGACATCAGGCAAGAATAAAGGAAAGAGAGAGAAAGAAGAAATAAGAGCGAGTGCGCGTTCTCCTGTTGGCTAGATAGAGAGAAAAGAAGTGAGATAGACAGATAGATAGACGGGGGTTAGAAAGAGAGCGAGGGCACGTAAGAGAGTGTAAGTGTTTCGAAAGAAGTGCGTGCGCTCGAGGACGACGTGCAGGAGGAGGGACCCCCGTCTGTCTGTCTGCTGGTATGCACGAGGGCCGAATGGCTACAGGGACAGGGGAAGGTGGGGGCCATACGGCCCTCGAGAACACCACTGCGACGGCCCTTACGGAATCATCGTCATCCTCTTCCTCCTCTTCCTCCTCTTCTTCCTCTTCTTCCTCCTCCTCCTCCTCATCCTCGGTACCAACTATCCTGACAGAAAACAACACGACGATTAATCTGCCTTTGGCTGAATCTGAACAAGAAACCCTTCATCAAGTACAGCATCAGGCTCAACAACAGCAGCAACAAACACATTCGCAATCATCGGTTAATTTGGTCACCGATCTGCAAACAAACGATACATCAGGTAATCTCAACCATTCATTTCTATGCTCTTGAGTTCTTTGTTGGCGCACATTATACCGTTTGCCAAACTCTTTTCCTCTTTTTCTCGCTGCTTTTCTCCCGTGCTTCACTCTTACTCTTTACCTTTTTCTCTTTCTTGCTTCCGCTTTCGCTTTCAATCGGCTTCCTCTCACTTTGTGCGTGCTGTCTTTTCTACCTTCTCTTTTCTGTTCAACGCAAAACGTTTGCACGTTGTTTGGTTCTCTTGCTCTCTTTCATCATTCGCTTTCTTATTCTTATCCTCTCTCCTATTTTCTTTCTTTCTTCTCTTCCCTTCATCCTCCCCTCCAACCTCTTAATCGACTGTTTGTACACGCTTTACTCGTTCGTTTGTTCGACTTGATCCATCTCTTAAGAACTACAGGTACTATACGTAATATCATTCTTTTTTCATTGTGCAACGCGATATAGTCAAAATATTATATTTTTAAATTATTTCCTTATTTTTACATTTCATTTATATTAATACTTAATAATATTCTTTTACATATTATAAATATTCACATTATAAATAACACTTATATTACAAAATTAAATACATTAATTGCTCGATTTTATTATGATTTGTTAACAATGACAATTAGAAATCAACAAAATTTATGACAATAAAACGAATTTGTTTTGTGTTTTGCAAGTATACGAAGAATACTATGTATTCTTATATATTTATTTTTATTCTTATATATTATATATTTATTGTTAATTTTTATAAGTTATTTGGAAATTATTATCTATATATATATATATATATATATATTATAT